ACAGAGTCAGCATATCGCCCCCAACAACAATCCGGGTCCTCATTTCACCCACCTCGGAAGGATGGAAGGCTGAGTCAACCCTGAGATGGTGAGATTTGAACAGCCGAACTGCAGATAGCAGTCAGCTGAAGTGGCCTGCAGTGCGGCATTTAACCACTGCGCCACCTCGGCTCTTGATCTGCCTAATGACAGGCCGGGTGGGTGTGGCAAGGTGGTCATGTGGCTGGGTGGGCGTGGCCAACTCGATGTCACTCGTGCCAAGGGGCGCCTTGCCAGCCTCTGCTCGCCCCTCCCCTCCCAGCCCCTCCTCGCCTGGGCTCCTTAGGGCCCCCACAGGAAGCAGTTGCTGGAGCTGAGCAGCCCCCAGGAGAAAGAGTTGGCAAAACAACTCGGTTCAAGTTGGATCTGGCCGAGGAGGAGGCTCAGTAGAAGCACCTCACTGAGGACTAGGAGCATGGGCTTTCCAAGCAGAGGGAAGACCTGCGGGGGTGCAAGGCCAGGTGCCTGGAGGCTCAGAGGGCAGAGATGGTCAGCCAGTTCCAGGCCATGATGCCGTCCCACTGGAATGAGGCTCTCTGGCTCCTCACCACCAGCGGCTCTTCCCTCCAGCCTTTGCCCAAAGACCCCTCCCCACCAGGAGGCTGAAGCAGACCCCCAAGTCGAAATTTCTGCCCCCCTCCGACCCCCACAAAAAGACCCCGAAGGGGGAGACTCTCTGCAGCAACACAATCGCCCATTGCACGTATCCGTCCCAGGGGGCGTAGTTAGAGGACCCCCTGATTCGGCGCAGTATATAAAATGCAGGTAATTTTTCTGGTCCACGAACCCCCAGTTTGGTGACCGCTGAACTAGAAGACAGGGGGGTCACTGGAGCTCCCATCTCAGGTGGCTCCTCATAATTTGGACGCTACAGAGAAGAGCAACAACAGGACATCACCAACCGGGTGTGGCAGCTCCCCAGCCAGCTGCAGCCACAGCTGCGTGGTGGTCCTCTGCACTTCTAAGAGCTCCTTCTGCTGTTGGAGGAGAAGCTTCCGCTCCCGATGGGCAGCTCGGCCGATGTTCTGCAGGTGTCTGATTTCTGCCTGCAAGAGGAGACAGGATGGAGTTCGTGCTTCTCCGCAGGCTGCTTGCCTGGCCCACCTCGCAGGGCTAACTAAACCCCTCCCGCCTCGCCTCGCCTCCCTCCTCCATTGCCCTCCCCAGATATATTATCATCACCTGCTCTTGCTTCAGCCTGGTTAGGATGGAGATCTGCTTCTCGGCTGTGGGTGATGGGCCTCCCGTTCCCTGCGATCCATTTGGGGAGCTGAAAGCGGGAAACGGATTGAACTCAAGCGTTGGGAAGTGGATTTGTATCCTAGTTGGGATCCAACCAATGGCCCCTCCACCAGTACTACACAACCTACACACACACACACAGAACTGCTGCCCAGAGTCCCATGGAGTTGAGTGGCTAACAAATTGCAATCACTAAATTTTTAAAAAATCCTTCTTGACACCCAAAATACCATCTTTTGCTCTGGTCACTGCCTCTGTTTCAAACTGAGATTATAAACTCCTCCAACTTCAGGACTATTTAATATCATTGATTATATCTTTTAGCTTCCTACAATCTGTTAAATCAAGATCTTACTACTTCCCTTCCCTTCTTATTTCCTGTCGTTTTATAAAATAATTCTTCTTCTTCTTCTTCTTCTTCTTCTTCTTCTCCTCCTCCTCCTCCTCCTCCTCCTCCTCTTCTTCTTCTTTCCCCTTCCCCTTCCCCTTCCCTTTCTTCTTCTTCTTCTTCTTCTTCTTCTTCTTCTTCTTCTTCTTCTTCTTCTTCTTCTTCTTNGTTAAGTGAGTTTCACCACATTTTCCAAGTTGGCCGTGCCCACCCAGTCACATGACCGCCGAGCCACTCCCACAAAACAGGCCACACCTACAGAATAAGTTCTAAAAAAATTTGAAACCCACCACTGAGCTGCCCCTTCAGCACTGTGAAGGTGCAATAAGTGCATTCCAATATCAGACCCAATTATCTGTACATTAATTAGCAATGTAAAGTCATCTGAATGAACAGTCAAATAACTAACATGAAAGCCAAATATCTACACCACTGTCAATGTCTAGATGAGTTGATCTCAAAGCCAAGCTAAGTGGGGTTGGACCCATTACAAGCTGAATGAAAATCTGTCAGAAAGATAGAACAGATATTATTGTAATGCTGATTCTTGTCTAACAACTCTCTGAAATTCTTTGTTGTTGTTTTTCCTGAGATCTTTGTCTTTCTTAGCTGTGGTTTTTCTTCTCTTTTTGGCAATTTCTACCATTTGTTCATATCAATTGCTTTCTTCTGCTTCTTTAGCAGTCTTTTTCATCCATAACAAGCGATTTCATTGCATTCCGTAGTTCCTCTGGTTCCCTACTAATGAGATTCAGGACTTCAAAATAATGATGTCTGCCTTGCAAATGGTCAGTATCTGGCCAGGTTCATGTTGAGGAAACTGGTTGACTTATTTCTTCCAATTCTACTTCACTTGGAACTTGCTCATGAGCAGTTTGTGATCTGTTTCACAAACACCATGTATTCCATCTGGTGTACTCCATCTGGTGATATCCATGTACATAAGCATAGTTGGGGTTGTTTGAAGATTGTGTTCACAATGAAGAAATCATTGGATTGGCAGAAATTAAATTTACTCTTTCATGTATATTAATCTATACTGGGTCTACTTTACTAATGGTATCATATTATCTTCACTACCGCTTCGGTAGCAGGAGGGCACATGCATGTGCAGAAGGTCCATGATGACATCTGGGTGGGTGGGTGGAGCCTTTCACCACCGCCACTACCGCTTCGCCTGAATACCACCTCTGGTCTCCTTTGCAAGGAGTTAAGTCCCATGGAATCGAGGTGAAATGTCTACATTTGAGTAAACATGATCAGAATCATATTGCTAGTCTGTGGTTGTCCTAAACTTAAGTTTGCTAACCATTTTTATTTCCTATATTTGTTTCAGAGGTGGGTTCCTACCAGTTCGCACCTATTCGGTAGAACCAGTTCGTCAAATCTACCGAACCAATTAGAAGAGGTTCCACCAGTGGACCCGGAAAGCAGGTCATACCTACAGAAGAGATTCCAAAAATTTTTGAAACCCACCACTGACACACGTGCACACACACACACACACACACAC